CACCACCACAATGGATTTGAAATAAAACGAACAAGATGTGCTTTAACTGCAGACTGTCAGCTTTAATTTGAGGGTATTTACATCCAAATCAGGTGAACGGTGTAGGAATTACAACAGTTTGCATATGTGCCTCCCACTTGTTAAGGGACCAAAAGTAATGGGACAATTGGCTTCTCAGATGTTCCATGGCCAGGTGTGTGTTATTCCCTCATTATCCCAATTACAGTGAGCAGATAAAAGGTCTAGAGTTAATTTCAAGTGTGCTATTTGCATTTGGAATCTGTTGCTGTCAACTCTCAAGATGAGATCCAAAGAGCTGTCACTGTCAGTGAAGCAAGCCATCATTAGGCTGAAAAAACAAAACAAACCCATCAGAGAGATAGCAAAAACATTAGGCGTGGCCAAAACAACTGTTTGGAACATTCTTAAAAAGAAGGAACACACCGGTGAGCTCAGCAACACCAAAAGACCCCGGAAGACCACGGAATACAACTGTGGTGGATGACCGAAGAATTCTTTCCCTGGTGAAGAAAACACCCTTCACAACAGTTGGCCAGATCAAGAACACTCTCCAGGAGGTAGGTGTATGTGTGTCAAAGTCAACAATCAAGAGAAGACTTCCCCAGAGTGAATACAGAGGGTTCACCACAAGATGTAAACCATTGGTGAGCCTCAAAAACAGGAAGGCCAGATTAGAGTTTGCCAAACGACATCTAAAAAAGCCTTCACAGTTCTGGAACAACATCCTATGGACAGATGAGACCAAGATCAACTTGTACCAGAGTGATGGGAAGAGAAGAGTATGGAGAAGGAAAGGAACTGCTCATGATCCTAAGCATACCACCTCATCAGTGAAGCATGGTGGTGGTAGTGTCATGGCGTGGGCATGTATGTCTGCCAATAGAACTGGTTCTCTTGTATTTATTGATGATGTGACTGCTGACAAAAGTAGCAGGATGAATTCTGAAGTGTTTCGGGCAATATTATCTGCTCATATTCAGCCAAATGCTTCAGAACTCATTGGACACCGCTTCACAGTGCAGATGGACAATGACCCAAAGCATACTTGTTTTTCAAGGGAAAGAAGTGGAATGTTATGCAATGGCCAAGTCAATCACCTGACCTGAATTCGATTGAGCATGCATTTCCCTTGCTGAAGACAAAACTGAAGGGAAAATGCCCCAAGAACAAACAGGAACTGAAGACAGTTGCAGTAGAGGCCTGGCAGAGCATCACCAGGGATGAAACCCAGCGTCTGGTGATGTCTATGCGTTCCAGACTTCAGGCTGTAATTGACTGCAAAGGATTTGCAACCAAGTATTAAAAAGTGAAAGTTTGATTTATGATTATTATTCTGTCCCATTACTTTTGGTCCCTTAACAAGTGGGAGGCACATATGCAAACTGTTGTAATTCCTACACCGTTCCCCTGACTTGGATGTAGACACCCTCAAATTAAAGCTGACAGTCTGCAGTTAAAGCACGTCTTGTTTGTTTCATTTCAAATCCATTGTGGTGGTGTATAGAGCCAAAAATGTTAGAATTGTGTCGATGTCCCAATATTTATGGACCTGACTGTATATATAAGTGATATACCTAAAGGGTTATTGGGTGTGGTATGTCTTTTTGCTGATGGCACAAAGTGTGCAATAGGGTTGATATTTCTGGAGATATCTGTAACATGGAACATGATTTGGCATTGCCGGAAGATTAGTCAAAACAGTGGAAACTGAACTTCAATGTCTGGAAATGTGAAATAATGCATCTAGAGAAAAAGGAATCCATTGACAGAGTACAGCATTGGGGGTACAGTGTTGGCCAGCACTGAAGATGACTGCAAAATGAGCAGTGGGAAAAGCACCTAGAATTCCAAGAGGTATCACTAGAGGGGTCACCTGCAGGAGGAAGGAGGTTCTGATTTCCTTATATAGATCTTTAGTGAGAATACTGTGTCCAGTTCTGGAGACCTCACTTACAAAAAGATATTGATAATTAGCCCAGAGACAAGAAACAAAAATAGTGAAAGGTAATTGGGATAAAACACATCAGTGACTTCAGGAACTTAATATGTACAGTCTAGCGGAAAGAAGGGAAAGGGGAGACATGATTGAAACCTTTAAATACATCAAGAGGGCACAATTTTAAATATGAAACCAAGTTCAAGAATATGAGGAAATGACCTCAAACTAACAGGAGGAAAGTTCAAAACTAATCTTAGCATTATTTTTCTGAAAGGGTAGTGGCTTCAAATATGCCTGGGACAAACATAGATTATAATCAGACAAAAAAAGTTAACAAAGAAAAAGGGCAGACTCAATGGACCATTTGGTCGTTTTTCCTGTCTTCACTTTGATATGTTTCTATTCCCAATGCACACATTCCTGAAAGTGGATGAAAAGTAGGTGGGTTCTGCAATGACCATTGGCTGGAGACTGGAACAACACAGAACAAGGAATTTGTCACCAGCACACTAGGAAACTCCATAATACACTTTATTGAGCAATCACATCACATCAAAGGAAGCAGGAAGGTGAGAGATTAGGATAGGAGTGAGATTTATAGGAGTGTACAGTGTACATACCCCATTGTCCTGGAGTTTATGTCAGCATGAGGGTTCAGTACTAACAGGATGTGGTGAGCAGGGGAGGACTGACTATTTGGAAACTTGGGCACTGCCCGAGGGCCCGGGGTCAATAGGGGGCCCTATGAGATGCCCCTGGTACCTTTTTCATAGACTTTTTTGAGTTTGGGCAAGGACACAGGGGCCCCATGATCCCTTATTGCCCGAGGACCTCATGAGTTGTCAGTCCGCCCCTGGTGGTGAGTGCAGTAATAGAGAAAGGGTAGGAACGCAAGTGATATATTTAAACTGTGCTGTGAACAAGTAATGAGAATTTGAGAAGAGATGATACTACTGTGAGAAGGAAAGGTAGAGGTTGCATTTTTTAAGGTGGAGAAAGTAGGAATCAGACTTGGAGCTCAAAAGAAAGAGCTGGATTAGACAATACTGGTTCAGTTACAGTCTGTCTGGACTGAAGCACAGTTCTTAGTCATTTTTTCTTGTTTCTGCTTGAGATGAACTGCTTGATACTTGTGCATAAATGATACTTGTGCCCTGTACTCCCTGGATGTGCCTTCTTCATAAGCTGATCTAAATTTATTGCAGGATGGGCCTGGAGAATGTTTGTCAATTAAATACGGTATTTAAGAACCAATGAGACACTTGAATGAAAGGGGAAATTTTCACAAGAGATATCAGCTCTTTGATCATGCAAGACGTCGTAAAAAATCTATCTAAAATATATTGGCAAGTTTAACAGCTGTTTAGGAGCAATTACCATAAGGCATTTGTTAGCAAGATGTTGTTTGTTCATTCCCCTAGCATGGAACTGGTTAATATACATATTTAAAAGGAGCAGCAGTTACCATTAAAGTGTTACTAAAGGCTAATTTTATAGTGATATGGGGATGCTTAGCTCAACGGTTGATGCGTTTTTAGTGAATTCATGGCAGACAGGAACTAAACTTAAAGGCCTGGTAGCCCACTTTTATTAAATAGTAACTGAAAAGTCCTATCAAACACAAAGTTTCCCACGCAGGGGGGTTTCAACTTCACTCAAAATACACAATGAAAATGCCAATCCCCCCGACTCTCTGGTTAGCAGTACCTCTGCTTGGCTTGGTCTCCCAGACCACTGACTGTTCAGGCTCACTCAGCCTAGGTGACAGCTACTTGCTGTTAAGGCCCCACATGGCCTCTTGACAGAGTTTACCCTATATCTCAGCTTGCTTCCTCCTGAGACTCACGGATTCCCTCCAGCCCCTTGTACTCACTAGCCTCTGCAGCTTCCTCAGCCTCCCAGACCCTCTCTTGGTCTCCCAGACTCTCGTAGCTGGCTAGACTTTCCCAGTCCTTGGGCCCAGAATCCCCGTCACAATGGTTGTAGTCTCCACCCGGAGCTTCCAGCTCTCCTGACAGGGCTCTGTCTTCAGAGTTACAGCAATAGCAACTGCTATGCCATCTCCACACTTGTGAGCTACACTCAGATCTGCCTTATAACGAGTGTGTGCACCTTCACACACACACCCTGCAGAACTTCTGAAAAACCTAGACACAAAATTGAAGACTCCATCCCATCCAATACTCTTTGAAGCCTTCAAGCTTACAGCCCCAATCTAGACTTACTAAATCCAGGGAAAGCTTAAAACATATCTTTCTCTGCTCACCAAACATTTGCTGGAGCCTCTGAAACTGACTATTTGAGAGTCCTGTGTCCTTCTCAAATCCATTTCCACAGTGACAGAGGCTTGCACTTTCACAATATATATAACATACATGTTATACTCATCTGCTTTGTGCAATGGTACTGCACAGAGTGGTCCCAATCCTCCTCCTCTTCTTGTGTCCCCCGTTGGCAGTCATGGCTTCTCCTTTTCTTAGTGTGTCCCTATAGCAAGCTGTCCACTATGGAGGTGCATGGTGTCTGCTCTCATCTGAGCTGTGTGTCTATGGAGCCGCGCTTGGACCCACCCCCACTTCCTCCTCACTGCATTTGATTGACGGAAGCAGAAGCCAATGGCTCCCTTCACACAGGGAAGGGGGAGGACAGAGAAATATAAACATTTTTGCCTCAATGCAAGCAATACATTAAGATAAATAAATATTTTAAGCTTTAGTATAACTTTCAGCATTTGTTCATAATGTCTGTTTACAATTCCAACACAGCATGGAGATGGTTAAAATTGATATTTCAAATCAGCAGCAGCAAACTGTGAAAGGGCAGAGAATGTATATGAGAATGTGACAGGAGCTGCACATGGTAAATTGCTAACTATTTTAAATCACCTAAGTACTGTTTGTTCATGCAGATGTGTAAGATTCTCTTTAAAAGGTTTAAATGTGACCCACAATCAAATCTATTCTCATATCTCTGATCAGTGTCACTTAATATACATACTACTGTATTCTTAAATCTGTTCTGCTTTCCATCTAAATTCTAGGGTGGTGATTTCACCAACCACAATGGCACTGGAGGTAAATCAATATACGGTGGTAAGTTTGAAGATGAAAACTTCACTCTGAAGCACAGTACCCCAGGTGTCCTCTCCATGGCCAATGCAGGGCCCAACAGCAACGGCTCTCAGTTCTTTATTTCAACTATCAAGGCTGATTGGTAAGATGATTGATAGCATAGCTAATGAGATAATGCAGATATTTTCAATAAAGGAATAAGGTGTTAAGAGTGCATCTATAGCAGTCCAAAACTGGGACAAAAAATAGGTCTGGGCATTTAAGACTAAGCAGCCCCCCCCCCCCTTTTTTTTTTTAACCAAATTACAAATAATGACAACTACTGGTTTCTAGGTGTCTTTTAGTAGCCTGCTTTGGTCATTTATGACTGGACAATGAAAGACCAGCAATAGCCTGGTCAGGTGAACTCCCTCCTACTGTCAGCTTATCCCCTTCCAGTCCGGGCTGATTGTGGCATTCCTCTACTACATGCAAAAAACATAATTTTTTTGCTAGAAAATGACTTAGAACCCCCAAACGTTATATATTTGTTTTACGAAGAGGCCCTAGAGAATAAAATGGTGAATGCTGTATATTTTTATGTCACAGGATATTTGTTTTCAAACACAAATTCTTTTGGATAAAATACACTTAAATTAATTTTAATGTACAAAAACACAAAATAATACCCAATTGTTTGGTAAAATATAAATAAAATGATGTTACAATGAGTAAATAGATGTCATGTTTTAAAATTGCGTCTGGTTGTGGAACGGCGCCAAATTACGGTACCTATAAATTTTTATAGGCAACATTTTAAAAGCCTTTACAAGTTACCAGTATAGAGATACATGGGTGGTCTGGGGCTAGACTTATTGCTCTCACAACGATCAAGGCAATACCTCACATGTAGGGTGCGATTTCCATTTACATATGCGTGAGGGACCTGTGCGCACGGGGGGAGCTTTAAATTTGTTTTGCTATTGTATTATTTAAATTTTTTTTTAACACTGTACCTTTACTTTTTTATTGATCAACTTTATTTCTATTACAAGGGATGAACAACATCCCTTGTGATAGCATGGGCCATGACAGGTCCTCTTTATTGGAGAGTTCTGGGGTCTGTTAGACCCCAAATCTCTCCTCTGGCATTCAATGCAAGCAATCAGATACAGATCAGTCTGATCGGTTGCTTCACTGGCCGCTAATGGCCAGGAAAACACAGAGCTAAAACAGAAAGTGATGAAATCCTTGTTGCTTCCTCTTTCTGACATCACACAGCGGGAGGAAAAAACATCCGTTCCTCTCACTGTCTGCCTAGAGCTGGATGCCGCTGGTCACATACTTACTAGGCTCCCCGACTGCATGGGAGATCCCGGTAAAGGCGGCAGTGGCAGGAGGGAGTGGGAGAGGGAGTGGGATCCACCTGTAAAAGTAATCCAGCAGTTTGTTAGCTCCCGGATTACTTTTATCTTGTGCAAAATCGTTGGGGCTAAAGACTGTTATTTTGATCATTGCTGCAGTTGCATCGATGACGGAGATATCATCCTTCCCCTCCGAGGACGTTCATAAATGTACAGCTCCGGAAGTGGTTAAATGCAGGACACCTTTTGTTGGTCAGAACCGTCTATCTCTTGCAATGTGAGTGATACTGAACAAAGGATAACAGAAGATAAAATGTCTGATCTCTTCACTTCTATCTTGTATTATCCTCTGTTCAGTATCACTCACATTGTGAGAGAGAGAGAGAGAGAGAGAGAGAGAGAGAGAGAGAGAGAGAGACAGTGACCAAAGCATCTCATCACAGTTAAATTACTTGACAAGTAAAACAGCACTTATCTGGGATCCGTGGGTTCTGCGGCTGCAAAGACATCATGCGGCGATGGGGTCTCCTCTCCTGCACCTCCTCTTCACAGTCACCTGACCTATAGTCTCCGCCCTCAGGCCCTGACTGCCATATGCAGTGAATTGAATATATGGCCTCTGCAGAGAGGCCAGGGTGAGCGGAACGGGTTCAAGGAGCAGCCCGGCTGCCGCAGCTGCCTTGGTCATGCGGCCCCGGCCCACCGAGCAGGTGCCCGATAGCCAGTCTGGGCCTGATCTATAGCCAAGAACATTTTTTGTTCTTGATAGAATGGAAAAGGGTCTGGTCAGCCAGACAGTAATTAGACACTCCTAGAAGAGGTAAGGACAATGACATGCAAGGAAGTAGTGGGCTGTGCTGGAGAACTGACTCTTCCTGGAGTAGTCAAATTTTCTAGTAAGTTCAACTCTCTGCAAAATAACAAAAATAATTTGTGGAAAGGAAAACAGACAAACATTTAAAATACTTGATTTTTTTCTGTTCTTTTTAACCGCAGTTGAAGATGGAATCTTTTTTAAAGCGCATTTAAACCCACTGATTTGTTTACCCAAACAGATTTAAAGTATGACTCTCGTAATAATCCTCACAGTTTCCAGTTCTCTTCTGTCAGTTCTCCATTAAACTCTCAAGCCCTCAAATGGCTGGTGTCATAGCTAACCACATATGCAGCAGCATGGCAACTGCAGGTCTAAATATCAGCTAAGGTGGTGCCATCTTAACCTGTGAAATATAAGAACATTAAGTTTCACTTTGTGGATGTGTCCCTTACAGGACACAGACAGTAAAAAAAAAAAAACCAAACAATTTACAGGGGTTTTCATCATTCCATTTTCTATCCAAACTATATTTATAAAATCTTTGTCTATAAACAAACTTTAAATAGGTTTGCAGATTTTTTTTAAATCTTTTTTTAATACGATTTTTGAAAGCAAGACACTTGCTGTTTGTGAGAGTTTGCATCCAGTAAGGCTATACATTGGATTATTGATGGAGGTTTTTCCTTAACTTGATATCTCTGTTCTTGGCAGAGAGCAGCTTGGAGGTTAATTCCCTTATAATACAGACTTGCAAACTGTAGACTACAGAAGTCTTTGGGGAATCTGGAACATCCAGGCAGAATCTTGGGGGATGACAAGGAACATATCAGTGGGACAGCACATGCAAGCCTCACAACTCATGTTATTTAGCTCTCGTGAGCAGACCTTTCTTTTAAAAGATCATAAAGTTGTTTTGAAAGGCTAAAGTTTTTTTTTTTACCTTCATGCGTTTTATGAAAGAAGGTAAAAAACCTTCTGTGTGTTGCTCCCCCCACAGCCCCTCTATTACTCACCTGAGTCCCTTCTCAATCCAGCGATGTGCATGGGAGCCCCGGGTGTCCCAGGACTCCCTCTCCTCATTGGTTGGGACAGCAGTGGGACCCATAGGGTCAATCACAGTCAGTAAGCCAATGGGGAGAGAACAGGGGATGTGTCAATGCCCTCATAGCAAGTGGCTTGCTATTGAGGGTACTGGTCAAGGGGGAGGAGCCAGAAGCACTTATGGGGGACCCGAGAAGAAGAGGATCATGGCTGCTCTGTGCAAAACCACTGCAGAGAGCAGGTAAGTATGACATTTTTTTTTTTTTTTAAAGCCGAACCTTTACTATCACTTGAAAGGGTGCCGTTTAATATAGCAAGATGAGGTAAGGATTCATGTACAAGATACCATAACATCACCTAACATTTTGTATCCCTGAGATGTGCTCCTTAGGTACATAAGGATAGCAAGGCTCTCTCATTTTGGCACTAACTATAGGTTTCATTTATCCCAAGTTCTTAGGCATTGATCCCTTGATACATGGGGCATTATGCTATGTAATTATAAATTACTTCTAAAACATAAAACCAGAAAGTGAGACAAATCAACAATTTCCAACTCCAAAAGCCAATCCCCCACCTATACACTAGGTCAGTTTGGTTTGTTAATTAAGCTTTAAATGCTAGTGAAGAAACAAGCTTACTAATTACAAGCTTAGGCTCTACACATTATACAATTTTATTGTACAATTTTCCTTTAGGTTTACCAAAACCATATAATATGAGGTCAAACATAAACACTTAATTTCTATGCAATCAGGTAGGCCCTTGCACTACATAGTTGAAGGTAAATCTAAAGGAAATTGAACAAGAAAATTGTATAGTGTATTGCCAGCTTTACAATGTTATTTGTTGGTGCTACCTGTTAGTATCTTTCTATAAATACACTGCAGAAATCTATGAATTGTTGAATTGTTTTTGTGTGTTCTACCTACTAATTATCCTTAAAGCAGAACTCCAGTTTTAAATTTAAAATTCAAGAAGCCAGGGTCATTAGAAAATTTAAAAAAATATATTTTGCTTCAGACAGCTTTCTGCCATTAAATGAGATCAGTCTTGTGGGTTGACAAAAAAAACTAGAGTTCTGCTTTAAATCACAGCCACCAAAACAATAAACTTGCTGTATGCTCATATATTTTGTTCTTCTCTGTTGCTATCATACAATCAAAGGCTGAATGGGAAACATGTGGTGTTTGGTAATGTGGTGGAAGGAATGGAAGCGGTGAAGAAGATGGAAAGTTATGGCTCCAACAGTGGGAAGACCAGCAAGAAGATTGTGATTACCGATTGTGGAGTCCTAGAAGACACACCTTCTGCTTGACAATGACACGCAAATGAAACACCATGTGACCGTAACATATAACGTCATCATAGTCAACACAGAGAAGCTGACTTCAGTGACGACATGCATTTGTTCTTTGTCAACTACATTGTCTCAGTATATATAATAGCATTATTTATTGACACAGTATGCGACCAGATCATTTCAGCAACTTGCCTCTGCCTTTTGCCTCCTACTGAAATAGTCCATTATACCCCGTAGTTAAAATCGGTGGATTCCGACTAATGGCTTGTTCATTACATGTAGTTCTCAGTCTCAACTGCCTTTGATGTTTTCCTACCCTCTGCTGGAGCACACTTTGCAAATCAACTGTTTACATCTGGGAAAGCAAGCTCAGGACTCTTACATCCATTTAATGTTTTTATCATGTTTAAACTTATACTTAAAAATAAAATATGAAGGAAATATGGAGTTATTTATTATTAACCACTTGCCCTCCAGAGGATTTACCCCCCTTCCTAACCAGGCCACTTTTTGCGATACGGCGCTGCGTTACTTTAACTGACAATTACGCGCTCATGCAACACTGTACATAAATTAAATTTATGTCTTTTTCCCCACAAATAGCGCTTTCTTTCAGTGGTATTTGATCACCTATGCTGTTTTTATTTTTTGCACTATAAACAAAAAAAGACCAACAATTTTGAAAAAAAAAACCCCAATATTTTTGACTTTTTGGTATAAAACATATCCAATACAAAAAATTTAAAAATCTAATTTCTTCATAAATGTAGGCCAAAATGTATTCTGCTACATGTCTTTGCTAAAAATCCCAATACATGTAAATAAATTGGTTTACGTGAAAGTTATTGCGTCAACAAATGGTGGTATATATACTGGAATTTTTTTTTATACTAGTAATGGCGGCAATCAGCGACTTATAGAGGGACTGCAGCGAGCATTCTGGGTGAGAACTGACTAACTGCTACTGACATCCCAATGACACTAATACAGTGATTAGTGCTAATAAAAAGCCCTGACACTGTACTAATGACACTGGGCAGGAACGGGTTAACATCTGGGGAGATCTAAGGATGAACAGTGTGCTGTGTGCTGTTTTACATGATGTGCTGTGTGTGTTTTTACTAGGGAGACATGCTGCTGTGTATTTCTCTGCTGTCCAGCTGTAACACCCCCTTCCCTCTCTCTGACCACAACCTGATCACCTTCTCTATCTCCTCGTCCTCCAACGCCTACCCCTCCAAATGTCACACTACTACCAGCCGTAACCTCCGCAACCTTAACCCTGCCTCCCTCCACTCTGCAGCTGACCAACTCCACGACCGCATCCTCCCCCTGTCCTGCCCCGACTTGGCTTTGACCGCCTACAACAATGCGCTCTCAACAGCCCTTGACTCACTAGCGCCTTTAACCACACGCAACATCAGACCCCGACCGCTCCAGCCCTGGCAGACTGATCACACCAAAACCCTCAAACGACAAAGTCGTGCCCTAGAGCGACTATGGCGCAAAACCAAATCCCAACAAGCCTTCACCCGCTATAAATCTGCCTTCCGCACCTACACCTCCTCCCTCCATGCTGCCAAACAGGCCTACTTCTTGACCCTCATCAAGGCCCTCTCCTCCAATCCTCGCCGACTCTTCTCTGCCTTCAACTCTCTACTCTCTCCACCCCCACCTCCACCCAGCACCTCACTCACTGCCCTTGAGATTGCCAATCACTTCAAAAACAAGATTGACACAATTCGCAAGGACATTGACCCAACTCACACGCCCTCTCAACCCGTCCCCTCTCACACAGCTACCCCCTTATCCCCCCTCCCCCTCGACATAACCGCAGGGACTTCGTCGCTGCTCAAACTCTCTCCAACCCCCTTCACCCTCACTCAGCTACCCCCTCATCACCCCTCTCCCACGGCCCCACCACTGCTCTGACCTCCTCTTCCACCCCACCCTACATTCCTCATACTGAAGCTCCCCCCACACTCCGCACCTTTGACCTTACTACCATCGAGGAAGTCTCCAAGATCCTCTCTGATGCCCGCCTCACCACCTGCCCCCTCGACCCTATCCCCTCACAACTCCTACGACCTTCCTCCTCCTCCATCCTACGCTCCCTCACCCACATCTTCAATCTCTCCCTCTCCTCAGGCACTTTCCCCTCCCCTCTGAAACATGCACACATCACCCCCATACTTAAAAAGCCCTCCCTGGACCCCAATGACCCGAACAACCTCAGACCCATCTCCCTGCTCCCATTTACATCTAAACTCCTCGAGCGCCTAGTCTACACCCGCCTATGCTCTCACCTCAACGACAACAACCTCCTCGATCCCCTACAGTCCGGCTTCCGTCCCCTACACTCCACCGAAACTGCCTTACTCAAACTCTCCAACGACCTGCTAACCACCAAAGCTAATGGCCACTATTCAGTGCTCCTACTCCTTGACCTCTCTGCGGCCTTCGACACAGTCAACCACCCCCTCCTCCTCAAAAAACTACACTCCCTCGGCCTCAGAGATTCTGCTCTCTCCTGGCTCTCATCCTACCTGTCACAACGCTCCTTCAGCGTTACCTATAATGCTACCACCTCCCCCTCACTCCCCCTCTCTGTTGGGGTCCCTCAAGGCTCTGTCCTCGGGCCCCTTCTCTTCTCCATCTATACCTCCTCCCTTGGCAACTCATACACTCTCACGGCTTCAACTACCACCTCTATGCCGACGACACACAAATCTATCTCTCAACCCCCCACCTCACCCCCTTGGTCTCAGCCCGAATCACACACCTACTGAGCGACATATCAGACTGGATGTCGCTCCACTTCCTTAAAATTGAACCTCTCCAAAACCGAGTTTCTTGTCTTCCCCCCAGCCCGGACACCACCCCCCATTGATTTCTCCGTCACATCCAACAACGCTACCATCAAACCCGCCCTGCAGGCCAGAGTACTGGGTGTCATTCTGGACTCCAACCTATCCTTCCAGCCCCAAGTCCACTCTTTAACAAACTCGTGCAGACTCCACCTCCGCAACATCGCCAAAATCCGCACGTTCCTAACCCCAGAAACGACTAAACAGCTCATCCACTCCCTCATCATATCACGACTCGACTACTGCAACTCCCTCCTCACTGGCCTGCCTCACCGCTGGCTATCCCCGCTTCAGTCCATCCTGAATACGGCTGCCAGACTCATTCACCTTTCCAACCGCTCTGTCTCCGCCACCCCCCTCTGCCAATCCCTCCACTGGCTTCCGATTGCGCAACGGATCAAATTCAAAATCCTAACGCTGACGTACAAAGCTGTCCACCATACTGCCCCGAACTACATCATCTGACCTAATATCCAAGTACCCCCCAACACGCACACTCCGCTCCTCACAAGACCTCCTTCTCTCTAGTTCCCTGGTCTCCTCCTCCCATGCCCGCCTCCAGGACTTCTCCAGGGTGTCACCCATCCTCTGGAACTCCCTGCCCCAACCCATCAGATTATCACCTACTCTCCTCTCCTTTAGGCGCACCCTGAAAACCCATCTCTTCAGGAAGCCTACCCCACCCCCTGCTAACTTGCCGACCTCCTCCACTCTTCCTACCACTCCATCCCCCACAGCTATCTCCTCCTGTGCCACCACCCCCTCCCTCCTAGATTGTAAGCTCGAAAGAGCAGGGCCCTCGATCCCCTCATGTTTTGCATTGTATTGGTATTGTTCTGTCACATGTTCTGTCCCCCTTTGTAATGTACAGCGCTGAGCGAACTATTGGCGCTTTATAAATACTGTATAATAATAATAATAATGACAGTATTCAGTATATGAATTCCTTTACTTTAACCCAGACCAAGCAAAAGTGACAGTGACGGGTTAGAACAGACAATATCACTTCAGGTAGGTGCTTGGGATGTTGTAGGAACAGTTTTACTTAAAACTGAACTAAACTCAATTTTTTTGGCAACAGACAGGCTCTTTACTGCAATAATACTGTCTCTTCTGCATTAAAATAACCTCATCTGCCTGTTCGCAATCCTCAGCAGAATGTACATTTATGGCACAGTGCCAGTGTACTGGGATGAATGATTCCTATGCATATGTGGGAGTGACGTCATCATGCGCTGGTCAATCAAGATGACCAAAGACTGGCACCCAGAAGAAACTGGGTAGAAGATGCCAGCACTAGCTAGGGACCTCACGGGCATTGGACCCTTGGAGCAGAGGTAAATATTGTTGCCTTAAAAAAAAACAAAATTAAACCTAGGGGGAAAAAAAGATAAAATGTTAGAAGAACGCCTGTTATTGTTATATTTTGTCGTAACCTCTGAAGCTGTCACTGTAACTGGCAGGAGAGGACTGGGCTGGGGGCAATTTGCCCTCAGGCCAGTACTAATCAAATATGTTCAGCTGGTTGCCCTGAGCAGAGATACTTTTCCATTTCCACTTTTCCATTTAGAAATTGATGAGTGTGGGACCTGCAGTCAGAGACATTATAAAGCTACTTGCTCCCCAATCAGGCCCTTGCTTGACCACAGTGCCTGTCAGAGGAAAGTCTTCTTGCACCAAATTCATTAGGACTTTCAGATGTCATAAGACCAAACATGAGAGCCACAAAGGAAGCTGATGCTAAACCACTTGCCAACCACCTAATGCATATCTGTGTCAGCAGGGAGAGTAGGCCCACACGCTGCACATGCGTTCATGTTGCTGTGCTGACCACTGTGCAATTACTCCCAGCACATGGCCAAGCTTTCACAGACATCTCCTCTACTCTGTGATCAGGAGTCGGTGGAGCAGACTCCAATTCATGTGACCACTGTGACACAGTGACCATGTGATCGGAAAGTACACCCTGCCACCCTTCATCAAGACAAAAAGGAGTTAAAGATGTAAAAAGGTGTATCTCAATAAATCTTGTCCTTAAAGAACACTCACATTCACCATGCCCAATAACCACTGACATGCTTTGCAAAGTATCCTATCCTGAGCCCACCGAAATCTGTCCCTACCATGAAAGGGCCAGCTGATTGTGTC